TAATTAGCAACTGTTTTTTGTGTGATCATACTTTTTCCTATTACTGCTATATTTACATGTAACCATTTTGCATTTTCCTTGTATTGTGTTATGACAACTCGTAGGCTATCCTAAACTACCACATCATGAACTTACAGTGTTCAATTTGAAATTATTTATGGTTTCTGTTTCATTAACATCTGAAAGCAATAAAGCTACTTAGGTATGGTTAGACGCAATATTGACTTCCTGGTGCATGACAGCGGTCATGAATCAATCCCGTTCGTTTGAGTTGCGGGATTCCTTTGTGACCGCTGCCATGCACCAGGACTTCAATATTGGGTCTAACCATAGATGGTATATTCTCTAAAGATTTCTATTCCAGTGCAGCAAGTATAGATGTTTCGATATTGATAAGACTTTAAACAAATTTTCTACCTCTATAATGAAACGACTACCCTCTTCCCCCCTGAGGTAGCGTGCCTTTTGTTTTCAGTTTTTCTTGTTTTGTTTTGTTTTGTATTTTTTTTTAAATAAATTCCATCATCTTTCCCTTTTTCACTCGAGTTTCCCAAGTAACCCGTCAGTTATTTTCACTAAGCTTCACACAGGTGACGACAAAAATGCACGAAAAGTGGCGGATAAGTGACCTCGGCCTAGTCATAATGCTTCTTTGTCTTGGCCTAATTTTGTAGCCCTACCACGTCTCGTAAAATGGTCTAGGCGGTCCCTATGATAGAGCACAAAGTAACAATATCATAAAATGTCCAAAGCCCAAGAGGAACACGAACCACTTGCAAGTGGACTCACTGCAACGTCTTGGAAATGTTATGGCGCCATTTCCATGGTCTACTAAGCAATTATTCCTCTGGCGGTTGTTGGATATGAGATGGTTATAGCCAACTCGGCGCTACGCNTAAGATGATTATAGCCAACTCGGCGCTACGCACGTCGCTGGCTATCTATGTTAGGGAGTTTAAGAAAACCACGACGGCAACGGCAACGGGAACGTCGCTAAATAAACGATTTGATGAGGAGAACAATGGCTGTGCACGTGCATTATAATTCTTGGTACATTTCTTTGCCGTCCTTTTCAAGACAACAACGCCTGAAATGACCAAATTCTGCGTTGTCTAGAGAACGTGAACCACGACGGCTAATTTTAAAAATTTTTATTTCAAGTTGATCGCTATGTCCCAGATTCAGTTTCGTGAAGGTTTTGACGGTGATAAACAAAGTAAATAATTTCAGAGTACCGCGAGATTCGTAGATAAAATATAAAGTCATTTTTTAATCGACGTTGTCCTCGGCGTCGCCGCCGTGGTTACTGAAATTACCTAATCTCATATCCAACGCGCGCTCGTGGACTATTTATGTTAAATTAAAAACGCCCTCAAAATATAGAAAACTAAATCAAAATTTAAGACAGAAAAAACGCCCCAAAACATTACGCGTAGCTCACCATAGTTGTAGGACACGGTATAACGGATCTTATTATA